TCAAAACAGGATGTACGAATTCATCAACACTATCTTGACTGTGATTTGAACAGGTGTTGGTGTAACAAGACTAGCTTGACTTTTGAGCAGATAATGTTTTATCGAAGTTTAGCTTTACTAAAGCTTTTGTATAACCGTGGGTTTACTGAAGCAAATTGAAACGGATCCCTTCCGTGAATTCGTTGGAACTAATTCGAGCTGAGAGAGAACTGGTAAGATATTGCAGGCCAACGACGAATTTTTGAAAAATCAGTTCAAGTGTCACGGATATAAAAGGGAAAATTTCTAACCTCTCCTCTTATGTAAATGGTTTCAGGGAAATCGAGGTTTTCACGCTATGAAAAAAAAGAATTCAGGGTTTAAGTATACTTCAGGCCTCATACAATCTCGTAAATTCACGAATAACCTTTGAGCAAAATTCACGCGTCGCGTTTTAACTTTGGCCTTCATCACGCGTCACGTGCAAACCTAAGTGATGCACCAGTTTATTCATACCTTAAGTTTCCTCTCAGAAAATGATTCTCTAGAGGGTCCAGCAATGATTGTGATGACTCTTGCAAAGATTCGGCACCGATTATTTTTGGAGAAATGGTCAACTCTTGTTCCTGTTCTGTACAGATACGCAGCTGCTGGTTGTATTATTTTAATGCGCCATACTTCCAATACTCCCATTCTCCTTATCGTTCGAAGGCATCTGGCGCATGAAAAATCTAACGGACGCAAATGAGATGTAAGTTAGTTCAAAGACAAACTATTTTCAAAGCTGAGAGAGCCATGAATCACGATTCGTGTCTTCTCATCATTGCCTCTCTTGTCTGGTCTCTTAGGAAGCAATTAAGAGCGGCGAAGAGAAAGTCGCAAACAACAAAATTTCCGCCTGAGGTTTTCACACCTTCAAATCAATTAAGAATTTGACATTTTCCCGTGAGTACTAATCTAATTAACTTAGAAGCTTCCTTGATTCTTTCTCCTGCTCGTTAACTGTTCGAAATGCCTCGCAATTGTTAAGCCTTGTCCATACTCCATCGTATACATACTAACCTCATCACAGGCTTAGCGCTTACGGTAGGCCATGTGAAGTCTCCATTCGTATACACTATATACCTCATCGGCGAGCAAAGGTTTAATATTTCGATTAGAACTCGTAAGCTGTGCACTGTGCAATTTCACCAATGAGGGACAAAAGTCCCTTCAACCTATTGTTCTACAAACCGCTAACATCTGCTCCCAATATCCTAATAATCGTATAATTAGGCTTTAGTCAGTTTTGTTTGCTATGCGCTCTTGTCAGACTCTGGGTGGAGTTGGCATGTATCAGTCGAACAAAAATATTTCAATCGATGATGGCGAGCATACCGGTACGGGAATCCCCACCAGAGGAAAGACTTCCCAATGAAGATCACTGGGTTGACTTCGATGATTCAATCAATCCTTTGAATGTAGGATCTTTCATTTATGGAAAAATAATTCCGGATTTTGAGAGTCAATTAGAAATTGAAGGTAAAGCTAAAAACACCTGAATACAAAGTATCACAAGCAGTCCAGTGTCGATAACTTTTCAAATTTCAAGGTTAAGAGATCAGAAGTGTTATCAACAGAGTTGATAACGTGAATTTGCCACCTTAAAGAGTTTAAAGGCCGACGTTTCGGGCGTTCGCCCTTCGTCAGAGCGATCGAGTAACGATAAATATAGACTAGGTAACGATAAATGGTCTGAGCGAAACTTTGTTTGCCAAACACAAGTTTGCGATCTCATCGATATGAATACAATTTTACCAAACGCTTATCGAATCGTCATCTCTGAGTCTATCACTTATTTACGAATTGTATGTTTTCAGTCCTGGATGGAGATGTAGAACCCACAAACTTTTGATAAAAGCACGTTTTAGGCCAATTTTGTTGTTGCGAAGATTGATACGATGCTTAATTCACTTCGGTTGAATTACACTTCGATGGAAATTAGTGAATTATTTCAGATTTCTTGGATTCCGTCGTTGTTTTCAATGTAGAACCCGGCCAAAACCAGAAAGCGCCCTCACAATGGCTTTGTAAAGTGGGTCTGCAGTACATTATCCTTTTCATTGGTTTGTGACTTATAAGGCAACATTGCACGGTTTGATTTTTATGATTCTGAAAAAAGTTGCAGCTGACAGAGAGGGAGGATTGTTTTTTCCTAGAAGCTTATTTTCGCCCTTTAATTGAGATACAGATGTAGCATAAATACTAACTGTAAACATTGATATTAATTAAAATCTGTGATACTGTTAATTTAGTTTTCCTCTGAATAGGGAATAAAGTTTTCATTAGAAGGTTGAGCATTAATTTCCCTGTAGTCTTTTTCAAGACAGTGCAAGATTTAAATGATATATTTGCTCTCTATTTATCACATATACAAATCTTTTAAAATAGGTCAAAGGACTGAAATTGTGACCAGTAAATATATTTTGCGTGGAGTGGATTGCTTATTTGCTGTATAACAAACTTCAATTGTATTAAATTAATGATATTTTTCATTAATTTTTTGTATTCGGTCATAAAATAAAGTGATGTGACTTAAACTGTTTGGTTTATTGCTTACTTTTCTAACATTTTAATATTCGAATTTTATCATGTGGCATTAAGCCATGTGCTATTTTAGGTAACATAATTTCTGTTGAAAGTTAATTGACAGAATATTTGTGGCATCTGCTATTGACTGGTTAGAGAAAGACTTTTATATTCCTGTATTCATGAGTGAATTACGGGAACATCTAGTGTATGAGTGGTCACAGTGTTTCTGTGAAATTCAGTGTATGAGTGCTCACAGAATTTCTGCGATACCTTGTGAATGAGTGGTTGCAGAATTTCTGTGACACCCAGCGAATGAGTTGTTGCAGAATTTCTGCAACACTCAGTGTATGAGTGGTCACAGAATTTCTGTGACACCCAGTATATGAGTTGTCACAGAATTTCTGTGACACCCAGTATATGAGTGATCGCATAATTTCTGCAACACTTTGAGTATTAGTGGTCACAGAATTTCTGCAACACCCAGTGTATAAATGGTTGCAGAATTTCAGCAACATCCAGTGCGTGAGTGGTTCAGAATTTCTGCGACATCCAGTGGCCTAGTGGTTGCAGAATTTCTGCAACACTCAGTGCATGAGAGGATGCAGAATTTCTGCAACATTCAGTGACAGACTGTTGGCAGATTAGACGGATTTCCTCTGCATCTTTTCATGATTGTCTATTAACACATAGTTTCTTACGGACACGCTAAATATTGTAGAGGAAAATGTAAAATTTCAATTTATTTTAAATTTTTCCCGCTAGATTTGATTAGTTTTTAAGTGATTACCAAAACTTGTAGAGGAAAATCATTAATTTATCCAAAAATGTGCTATTTTGGAAAACACAAAATAGTTTGGAAAGCGTTCTTGAAGTGAGTGAGTATATTTAGTTCTCCAAGATTACACTTAATTAGACCTAAAAGCCTTGATGACTATTTCAGCAAGATACAATAACAAGGTGATACTAGAAAAACCAAATGTGCCTTTGTTCCAGAGGTACATCAGCCAGGGTTTGCGAACACATTTACAGGTTATATTGTTGCTGCCATCCTCGGAAAAGCAATATTTCCAATTACCCTTTCCTGCATGCTATAACAATAAAGTGCCCGGCTGGAGGGTTGAAAATGAAAGCGGCCTTTTCAAAATCAGCTCCATCCTCATTTGCCAGAGGTACGCAATTGATAGCCTCTTCTAGAAATTTGATACTTGTTTCGTCGTGTTTACTGAGACGTTCCTTGTTCTGTATTTTTTTCGACTTCTTCTCTTAGAGCACTCGCGGTTATTTTCTTCACGGGAATTCTTATTTTTTCTGGATAATCCTAAAATGATATAGATGTTATCAATATTAGGAGAAAAATTAGTATGGCGAAAGAAAAAAAAACACAGTAACCAAGTCAACCCACAAGTATCGCCAGAATCGCTGGGGAGTAGAACTCAGGCCACAGCTACATGTGAGGAGGCGATTGCTCCCACTCCACCTACTAAGGGTCTCCTCCCCTCCCCCTCGAAAGTTTCTGATGAATATTCAAGCAAGTATTGATTGCCGATCTTATCACTATGCTGGACTGCCTTGTAACGCAGCTCCGTAGTTTAAGGCCCCATGGGAAGGTCTGACGTTCAAATTCTTAACGAAGTTTTTCAGGTTCCCAGCGGCTTGCTCGTTTTTAAATAAAGTGCATATTTCCTTATGGTATTCTGTAGAGGGATTGCTGAGCTCCCCTTGAAAATCTCATTTTTTCATATTGTCCCCATTTTGTCTCTATGAAATTGGAAACCTAAAAAAACAAAACTAATGCCCCATTACACAGAGCTCTCACTTGGATTTCAGCTGAAACTATCATTGTGTGCAACAGAATTAAAGAAAACTGTGAGGGAAAGATTGATTAGTATCGATGAGAAAATTATGAATAAACAAAACAAATTAGTATATAGCGGACAGATGAATTGCGCTTTTCGCGCGCGCTAATTAGTTAGCTCGCTAGTTAGCTAGTGAAATACCTCGTTTGACAGCGCCTATCGTCTCAATATTACTATACTATAGTTCTGAAAATTGAACTCTATTTCTCTATACTCTTCTGAGATGTCCAAGCCCCTGAATATTAGCTTCATTTTCCCTTTTCCTTTTTGGGTTTTTTTTTTGTTCAAGATTGCGTTATTTCAGAACAAAATTCAGACGAAAAAGAAAGAACAAACATTACAACCTTGAGGGAGATCGTGTGGCCAAGTGGTTGGCGCGCCCAAATCTAAACAGAATGAGACGATTCTTAGTCCACCAGCATTTCTTTTGCTTTAATTGTGTATGTCATAATCGAAGGCTGTTACAAATCTCCTTTCAAGACAGCTAATTATAAACTGAAATAGTTTGTTACATTATTATCGCGAAAACGGTAAGGAAATACTCTTAATTAATGCTACGCGGAGCACTGAAGAAACATGTCAGTTTTTCCTTTTTGAACAGTACCCCTATGGGGCTTTCATAGCCATTTCAATCAAATTGGAAAACAGACGTTGTAAATAATCATGTTTAAAAATCTCAACCAGCAGTGGGCACACCAGTTGGCTGTATACAAAGCGAGTCACGGAATCGACCCGAAGGAAAAACGAGAACAAACAAGCGAGTCATAAGGTAGAGGACTTGCACCCCTGAACACCAGATTACTAGTTCAGCACCCTCACTACACTGCCTACACTAAAAGTTTCATGTTATGAGAGAGATTATACTCTTGATTCTTTCTGGATTGCTTCATTTTCAGGTGGTAAGACGGCATCTGATCTTTTGGTAGTGGTTCTTGAAGGCAACCGGCTGCTTTTTCTACTGACGATCCTAGTAAATGCCGTATTTATCTTGGTGCTCAGAAAAATGTACAGCCATGGGTTAACGGCACTGTTGGCGTGTCCAAACCAAAAACACACAAAGCTGACAATCGGCTGTATGTGTAGGTCAGCCTTAGATGCGTGAATGACGTACATCATGTGGACCACTTGTGGTGGGAGCCAACAAAGGGCAAAAGCACAGGTAACAATAATGAGCATCCGAACCACTCTTCTCTTGGAGGTTTCGAGTTGCGCTCGATCTCTTCTCAAAGTATTCACTCCAGGTGCAACATTGAACCATAAATTCCATGCAGTGATGGTATACAGGAAAGAAATAACGACCAAGGGGATGAGATAGTTGACGACGAAAAGGAGGAGGTATATTCCTCGAAGAGCCCTCTCTGGATCACCCAAGATGTAAACAGATAGCATGCATCGGGAATTGTGGTCCTCCACGGTTTGAACAACAAGGAAAATGGACATGGAGACCAGTGACCCGATCCAAATAAATGGAACGGTTAGTTTAGGCTTTCGAAACCAAAGATGGCGGCGGAGGGGATGAACGATGGCATAGTACCTGTCGATCGCCATGAACGTCAGGCAGAGGATGGATGCTGTTAAAGTGACATAGGCAATGTATACAACACCTTTGCACATAACTTTTCCAAATACTCCCGGGATTATCCACAAACCATCTGTATATACTATGGAAATCGACCAAGGCATCACAACCAGGGTTACTAGCAAATCAGCGATGGCCATGTTCACGAACATAAAGCTTGTCAGTGATCTGACTTCAGGTTTCTTCCACACGATGTAGATAAGGAAAATATTCCCTGCAAACGCTATGAGCATCGTGATTGCGTAGAGTACTGTGATGATCCATTCGTTTTCTGGTTTCATCTTTATTCCCTTTTTTTCTGTTGCTAAAGTTGAATAGGAAAAAACTGTTATTACTGCATAAATAATCAGTAAATGGAACACCCATGGCCCCCTAAAATCTTATGCTATACCAACCTGGGGTGTGATGAGAGTAATAGATTGTGAATTCAAAGGAAACAAATATATATATATTTTTTGTTTATTTTAAACTAAGTTCAGTTTGGTTAAGTCGATGATTTTTCGGGGCGTCACTGAAGCTGTGAATAGGAACGGAAATAATGGAAACAGGAAAAGGAATGCAGCAGGACTTTTTGATTTTCTCCATAAATAACACTAATGAAAAAATCTTAGCATTGAAGTGATGGTTAAGCATTTGTGCATAGGAGTATTAAGTATTCCCTTCCTTAAAATAAATAAAAACTGGTCTTTGTTGTTGGTTTGCCTTTATGACGAAAGTGTTTCTTATTTGTCATCTTCTCCTTTGTCATGTTCCGTCCCGATGAATAAATATAACTTTCAGAAATAGTTTTTTTTTTTTTACTATTTTCAATTTTCTGCACGGTTCCTTCATTTGTCCGCATAATACCAATAACGAAAATTATCAGAAACAAAACGATAACAATAACATAATATTTGTTATAACAAAACTTTTATTCTCAGTTAAATATCCGGTAAAATAAAATTAACACTAAAGATAATGTATGATATCTTATTGAAGACACCGTTGGCGCATGCATATAACTATTTTTGATGGACTGTAACGTTATTAGAATTAGTTTGGAAACAGGAAATCGATCTGCCTATATATCCGCCTTACAAAGTCAACTTGTTTCCCTCCAAATTATTGTGAGTTAAGAAGCGTTGAACGTCTCATGGCAACTCAACGTACCTGCGATAGAATGCACTGAAGTCCGCTGTCAGCAAATAGACTTGTAGCCTCTTAGTACTAAAGGAAGATTAAAAAAAGGGAAAAGTTTACCTTTCAACCGCACTGATCCAAGCGTTTTTTCAGGTTGATCTTAAGTAAGAAATACGGTATACCTTTGGAGATCGATAAGGTTGCTTCTCCAGTCTAACGGTGTTAGAATTCAGTGGCCCGAGACTGATGAACCCTGATGAACTAGAGAGGTTATCCTGATCACTTCTGTTTTCAACCATTTCAAAATGATTTGCTATGAATATTAATGCGGATTTCGAGTGCATCTCTTCTTGACAGCCAGAAAGGAATATCAGACATAAATATTTGTATGTGAGGGTTCTGAAATGGATCTCAAAACCAACATGCCTCATATTAATTGTCAAGGCACGTACAACAGGGGCTTACGTCTTCCGCTTTGAAAGTCACAAAGAAACTACTTAGGGCTCAATTAAGAGGTCAAACTTATGAACACCGTTTAGAAGCTATTTGTCTTCGAAGCAGGCCTGATATGATTGATGTGTGTTGGGTTACATAGAGGCATAGGGTTTTATATGAATGTTACCTATAACTTATTGAATATAAGGATAATTATTCATTTACCGTCGAATTAAGACATGGCACATGTCATTTTCAGTCCGTTCCTACAAATAATCCCATTTTTGCTTTAGATCTCCTCAGTGATTTTAATTCGTAGACTCGAGTATTAAAAAAACAAACAAACAATAGGGAAACCCTCTTTACGTGCGGAAATTCAAGATTAACTCAAAAAGCAGATTTTGTACTTTCTCGCGAGTCTTAAGGCAGGTGCTCCGTATTTTAAAACTCATTTTAGTGAGTAATTAGCTACATGGTCTCACGAACAGTGTGACGAACCAAAGAAAAAAGTTGCCTTCGGTTGAATGAACAATTTTAATGTAGGAAAATGTAGGAAAGTGGAGGAAATCTGGGGGAAATTGCGAAATTATGGTCTATGTATGTCATTTTACTTCTTTGTGAATTTGTCGGTTTGTTCTTGATCACGACCAGCTGTGAATCAATGACAAACCTTCAGTCCAATTCGGTCTGTAATTATACGAGTGATGACAAAATCGGACAACCGCGCAGCGGAAGTCCGATTTGTTTATCACGAGCATGATAACAAACTGTCCGATAAAAAAAAAGTACGCAGAAACAGGTTAAAAATACACCGTAAATTTTTTCCGATGAACTTTCGCATCGCTTCGACCAGAGTCCCTCAGCGCTATAAATAACAAAAGGACTATTGTTTCATACTTAAGGTGAGAAGTTGAGCCGGAGCAATAGACCATTCTTGATACGAGTTCAGTGTACTTTGACATAGAGCCCCGTAGCTGCCTTATTCGTTCAGTTTAAAATGCTAGCAACAGTAAGCACAGATGGGAGATGTTTAAGTTTTTAAAATACTGTGCGATAAGAGCTCGATAAATGAAATGACGCTCATCTCATGTGACATGATGGCTGAGCAAATCAGAAATGAAAAACACGCATGTACAAGTACGGTTGAACCGTGCGAAGGAAAAGCGTTTGTATCAAGCGACGATGCTTACGTAGATGATAATAAAACTGGCCTGTGTACTTTTGAAGTTGGAGATTCGAGCGGGATACCCCTATTACTGGATGATTAGTTCATTGGCAAGCCAGCAGAAGTTGTTGCAGAGGGGCTGCTCTGAGTCGCGGATTTTGGTCTTACTGTGCAATGGGAAACGAAATTAGAAGAGTTTCTAGCCATGGTAGAGACACAAGAAATTGGTTTAAAATAGCATGCGATGTGGCCGTGCAGTGTTGAATGACACAGGTATCAACACATGTAAAAAAACTTTTTTCACGAAAACACACAAAACCGCGCAAACCATGCACAGGGCTGGGATCTCTAGCCGTTTGGCCGTTAGCTGAGAAGACAGACATTTTGCTTTAAGAGACTTATTAAAAAGAAATGCATTGAAAATAATAGATGATGACTTACCCAGAGTCTCTTGACAATAGACAACCAAAAACAGTCCACCGTCGATCGTAGCAAAGACCATTCATCCGAGAAATAATTTTTATTTTAAGATAAGATCTCAGACTCTTCACGGGCATGCTTAATTTAAATGTGATGAATGTGATAGGAAACAAGACAACGCGTGAGGAGACATTTTAAGCTCAAGTGAAATTGACAACCGTAAAAAGTCCGCCTCTCTGCGCTAGCGAGATAACAGTAATTGGTAAAAGAGGTGGGTCCTAGTGAATTGAAGTCCAGACTTTGTACTAGCTTTGACCAAACACAAACAATCACGTCTACTCTGACTCGATTTGTTATTACACTCGATAATAAATTTCGTTTGTAAGCAAAGCTTGATTTTTTGACAATAGCAAGTAAGCTGAATGGAGTCTTCTTTCGATCAAAACGAAATGGTTTGACTGGTGTACTTGTTGGTTTGAGAAGTAGAAAGTTTAGTTCGATGGCGAACACACTGGTTCAAAGCTGTCACTCTACGCTATTATCAAACCAAATCATTTACCAGCGCCGCCTAAGTAAAATTAGAGGAGCATCTACACAATACAAGGCCAATCTTGATGGAAAATCTAGAGTTGACTCTCGCCCTGTGGACACCTCACCATTGCGACAAGAGCCCCGGTGCAAAAGCATCAAGAAATGACTGAATTAAACTCCCATTTTTACTACGGACTCAGGCTATTACTGAAATGCGGACACTTTCATGCCACCCAGCGAAACAGTTCCCTTGTCTTTTCTCTTGCTGTAGCGGACACTTAAGTACTTCGTCCAAAATCCTGGCTCACATAATGCAAAGTGACATTGCGATAAAAGAAAATACAGAAACCAGTCTTCAATTGGCTGCGAACATGAGAATTTCCTGCTTGCGGCCGAAACTTTATCCGGTTGGTGAGGCCACGTTAGAAATGTTGTGTTTGCGTAGTTACATATTATCTTATATGTTTAGGGTCGCCCTAGGGAAGTTTCCATCAAGAATCCGTCAAAAAAGGATTAACGTCTGTCATTGCAACGTGTTTCCTTATGCGACCGGTGTTTCACGAGTTTCTAAAATTGCGGAAGGTCCGCAGAAACTTCAAAGACATCGAAGCGTATGGGTGGGGCAAGTAGATTTTGAAAAAATTGAGAAAACAAAAGACACCGCTTCCGGAGCTGTCAACGCTATGCGCTAAGATCATTCCTAAGCCAAAATTTTCGTCATTTCGAACCTACATTCGCTAGACCGATCTTAGATAAAGCGGAACCCAGCGGAATTTTGTTTGGGCTGTGGTGCGACCTGGGCTTTTAACTTATTTTCTCTAGTATCCCGCTGTTACGGACTCTCGCTATTACTGACACAAAATCCCCCCCCCCCCCCCCCCCCCCCCCCCCGAGGTTGTCCGAAATAACGGGAGTCGAGTGTATCAAGAGGCTCGTTTGGCTCGGCAGTGGATGAAAGGAACCAGGAATAATGAACATACACGTCAAGTCTTTGGTGGTTTTACAAGTGGCTCCTTTGACTCAGCAGAGGATGAAAGAACGACTCGACTTGACCTTGACTCGGCAGAGGATGAAAGAACGAGGAATAGTGAACATACGCGTCAAGTCTTTGGTGATTTTACTAGTGGCTCGTTTGACTCAACAGAGGATGAAAGAACGAGGAATAATGATTATACGCGTCAAGTCTTTGGTGGTTTTACTAGTGGCTCGTTTGACCCGGCAGGGGATGAAAAAACGAGGAATGATGGATGTGCGTGTTTAGTCTTAGATCTATATAAGTCGGTGGTGGCTCGGTTGGCTTAGCAGTGGATGAAAGAACAAGGAATAGTCGATTGATGTGAAGTCTTAACTCTATATAGCAACTTATAGCAACGAATTTATGTCTGGAAATTGCAGGTACGGTTGAACCGCGCGAAGGAAAAGCGCTCGCATCAAGCGACGATCAAAGTGCTTGTATCAAACGACCATGCATACGTGATCAATTTTTAACTCAGCTTCATCTCTGTAGCTACACAGCTACAACTCTGATGTACACACAGCTACAACTCTGATGTACATCGGTTTGGAAAAAGAAACATCACATTTATGTCCGTAATGACGACTCTTCCGGTTTTTCAGCACAAAGGAAAGGCATAGAGCCGGAATTTATTCAAATGTCATCCCACTTTTTTCACACTTTACATCCTCGTGTTAACCTTTTTGTGTGCATCACTAATAGATGCATTTGATACAAAATTCCCTACATTTAATGTTTAACTGTAGATTAATAAATTTGAAGTTTCCAAGAAGTCTCGATTTCAAGTACTTGAATTTTTCAGAGGCCAAATCACTTCTCAACTGGCTCCGAACAGTTAGTTGCCCATTGAGAAAATGACATTTAATGTTTCGAGGGTCATAGAGGCTTGGTGATTTTATCCAAATCTTTCAATGGTATACTCTTTTTGATTTGAAGAAACTTTACCTAATTTCTCCATCAACTAGCATTTCCGTAATAATTACTAGAAACAACTGAAATTTGAAATTTTTTGCTGAAACATTTTCCTCTTTTTTTTTAAATAAATTCGAGCAGTTTCGTAAGTGATCTTTTCCTAGAGGGCATAGGTACAAAAGAAAACAAGAATACGAGAAAGACTTCTATGTCTGACTGCTTTTTCTCTTAAGTTATACACCTGATAAACACTCGCTATACTCCGCCATAGCTATGTATAACAAGATGAACCACACTCATTTTGATTAGTTTTTATTAACGTTCAGTTGGAGGACAGACTCCTTGTTGGCGTCCCGATTATCAGCATTAAAGCAAATAAATATTGCCGTGGGTCTCTTCAGCAGGAACCCCCATGAGTCACTCTGGGCTGTGCTTCGTGTGGCACGATTTTGTTATGACCATTTTCGTTTCATCTACGAAGATGTGGAAAACTTGAATTTTCTAATTGCTGTTGTCGGCATTGACTATCTACAGATTTATTTCTCCTCTTCCCAGGACAAATTTTATCAGCATAAGATCAGTGCCTAAAAGTTTTTATGAGTAAATAACCAGTTCACGTGAATTTTACGAGGTGACACTGACAGCTTGTAGTTGCCAAATCACATCTTCTTCTTCTGACAGGGTTGGTGGGTGAGGGGGGGGGGGGGGTGAGGAGGTGACTGGAAATGGGTGAAGATGCTTGTCGTACCTTTCAGGGGTCAAAATCAGTGATCTGGTACCTTTTACGGTGTCTCAAACATTAGTGGACTACCAGAGACCCAGCTGGTACCTTTTAGGGTGATGATCTGACTTGAGCCTCTGGAGCACATCGATAAAGGAGTTCTTATTTTTGGGATTTTTCAATCTTTTTATGTTTAAATTGATACCTTTTAGGGGTAGATATCAGTTGTTGCCACTCCCACACGGATAAGACTTAGGTACCTTTTACAATTTTACAGGGATCGTTTTCGAAATTCCCGGCGTGCATCCTCGCCCTCTTGTGTTTAGGGGTTCCCGGGGGTGCTGATATGTGCAGCACACTTGAAATTTAGCAAGGACAAATTTTGATGTGATTTTCGGTGAAGAGAAAAAAGGTTTTGTCAGCCTCTTGTAGCTACTGCCGAAGGGCCCTTTAGCACTGTGTGCTTAATTACGCTTCCCGCCAGAGGGCGGGAAGCCTACAAAGTGCTCAGACATTAATATAGAAAACTCCGCCTCTGTCTGGATTTTTGGTAGCCTACTGACCAATTCCCAATCGAGACCTAAGTCTGACGGGACGCGTAATTTTGCACAAGGTGGTAAATAGCCAGGTTATATGAATTTTCCAGACATCTTGCGTACTATCTGTGGTACACGCTTGCCAATTCCCCAATAGGTATTTTGAATCTATATCTACTAATGAAACCACGAATCCACCCCACACCAGTACCGAGATTTGATCTATGAGAAGGGCAAATTGTAAAATCATCGATATCTTTTGGCGTCTCGAAGATGCCGGCTCGCGACAAAATAAGATCTACTTTAGTTTCTGGATCTCCGCGAGTAACTTGAAATGCCTTTTTGCAACTACGCAAGAGAACGACCTGAGATATGCAACGTCGGTCTTATCGATAACTATACCCAAAAGTCCCACCAGCGAACGATTGAAATGAACGGCAAATCTCCTTGTTAGCATTTAAGATGAGACGCTTATACAACAGATCAATTAGCTAAATCAGTATGTAGCTTGTCAATCGAATTGACCTTTGTAAAAATTCTCTGACTTCCGCCGGCAAAGGAATCATTGATGGATCTGGACATTTTTGTTTTCTGAATACAGTAATTCTTGGTTTTTATAGATATGAAAAGAGGGAAAAAAACTCATCTCTTGGTAATTCGGAGCTTGATTCATCTTTGAATTTATACGTGCCACGTTTGTCATGCAACTAATATAATAATGTGGAGAAGATTTACATACTGCAAATTAAATCCGGCTAAAATGTGGTAGAGCATAACTTAACAAGGTAAGACTGTCATTTTAGATTCTTTACAAACTGTAGTGATTTATGCCAGTAAACGGTGGCGACAAGTAGAACACCATGTATATTTCATAGTTGCTATCATGTAAATTTTGCCGGACTTTGAGTTCGTCTCACTTTGATGCCATTTTTCGACATAGAAAAAGTATGTCTGACAAAAATATTCACCAAAAAATAAATATTTCTTTGCCAGCTTCAATAATGACAGGGGATTAAGTTTAGATAATAAAACAAATGATTATGCCGACAGAAATACCGGAGGTCAAGTAAATACGTTACATGAGGTCACACAACTCGGGTAACATTCAGGGTGAAAATTTGCAAATTTGAGCGGTCGAACGAAAAAACGTATTTCTCAAAAACCAAAATACATTTCCACAAAAAAAAAACCACACCACAATTATTAGGACATATAGGGCTACAAAATATGAAAGTAGGAGAGAGAATGAATTTGGGCGACTTTCCGCTGTTTGTCTGATGCATGTTGACATTACCTCTTAGATGTGTCTTACCCTAAAGAGGCCGTCCAGTGAATCCACGATGCGTGAAGATTCC